TTTTGTAACATCTAATGAAATGATGGATCATATGTAGACGCTAAAACTAATAGATAAAATGTTGATGGGGAATTTTATTTTATTTTTTTAATATTTTATTTATTTATTCATGACAGAGAGAAAGAGAGAGAGAGAGAGAGGCAGAGACACAGACAGAGAGAGAAGCAGGCTCCACGCAAAGAGCCCGATGTGGGACTTGATCCCGGGACTCCAGGATCATGCCCTGGGCCAAAGGCAGGCTCTCAACTGCTGAGCCACCCAGGCATCCCATGATGGGGAATTTTATAATCAAGGGACCAGGCCAAGTGCCTGACTGACAGTTCAATCAATAAAAATGTTTCAACTAAATATTATATGCCTCCAGATGTGACCTAATAAGTACACAGCACCATTGCCAGTAAGTTATTCTTGCCAAAATCATTAAACCTAATCTAATCAAGCTGCTAGATCTAACTTTCAGTTTACTGAAATACAAGTGACAGAAGAACAAGTTAAACTACACTATTAAGGAGGCAATCAGCGAAAACTTCTGTGACTTGGGAGACTTTACAGGACAAATGCTCTGATTCCTTTTACAAATAAATACCATGGAAAACAAAAAGGAGGGGGATCCCTGGGTGGCTCAGCGGTTTAGCGCCTGCCTTTGGCCCAGGGGTGATCCTGGGGTCCCGGGGATCGAGTCCCACATCAGGCTCCCTGCATGGAGCCTGCTTCTCCCTCTGCCTGTGTCTCTGCCTCTCTCTCTCTGTGTCTCTCATGAATAGATAAATAAAATATTTAAAAAAATAAAAATTACTTAAGAGAAAAATGAAATGTGTGAACCTTATATGAATCCTGATTGGAACATATCAACTATGAAATAAATCTTTTTTTAAAGATTTTATTTACTTATTCATGAGAGACACACAGAGAGAGAGAGAGAGAGAGAGGCAGAGACACAGGGAGAAGGAGGAGCAGGCTCTATGGCAGGGAGCCCAACGTGGAATTCGATCCAGGGCCTCCAGGATCAGGCCCTGGAGTGAAGGGGGCGCTAAACCACTAAGCCACCCAGGCTGCCCAACTATTAAAGAAATTTGAACAGGAAATAGGCATTAAGTGATTTTGGGGAATCTATATTAGTTTTGTTAGGTATGATAGTTATGTTTGAAAAATCCCTATCTGTTAAAGATATATGCCGAAATAATTTGGGCGAAATGATATAATGTCTGGGATTTGCTTTACAATACTCCGGAGAGAGGGAAAAGTGGAGAGGTAATTAAAACAAGGTTGGCCAAACATTGATAATTATTGAAGACAGGGGATAATTTATTATATTCTCTCTACTTTTATGCATGTTTGAAGTGTTCTGTATTAGAAAGGTTTTGGGTTTTTTTTTTTTTAAGATTTTATTTATTGGGATGCCTGGGTGGCTCAGTGGTTCAGCGTCTGCTTTTGGCTCAGGGCGTGATCCTGACATCCCAGGATTGAGTCCCAGATCAGGCTTCCCTACATGAAGCCTGTTTCTCCCTCTGCCTATGTCTCTGCCTCTCTCTGTGTCTCTCTAATAAATAAATAAATAAATAAATAAATAAATAAATAAATAAAATATATAAAATATTTTTAAAAGATTTTATTTATTTATTTGAAAGACAAAGAGCACAAGCGGGGGGTGGGGGCAAGGCAGAGGGAGAGGGAGAAGCAGACTCCCCATTGAGCAGGGAGCCCCAGGTGGAACTTAATCCGAGAACCCTGAGATCATGACCTGAGCCCAAGGCAGATGCTTAACCAACTAAGCCACCTAGGTGCCCTAATAGAGAGGTTTTTGTTTTTGTTTAAAGACTAAAAATAGGGATCCCTGGGTGGCGCAGTGGTTTGGCGCCTGCCTTTGGCCCAGGGCGCGATCCTGGAGACCCGGGATCGAATCCCACGTCGGGCTCCCGGTGCATGGAGCCTGCTTCTCCCTCTGCCTGTGTCTCTGCCTCTCTCTCTCTCTCTCTCTCTCTCTCTCTCTCTGACTATCATAAATAAATAAAAATTTAAAAAAAGACTAAAAATAAATAGTTAAGAAAATTGGGGCAAAGAGAAAATACAGATGAAGAAATAGAAAAGTTCTGAGATTCTTAGCAGCAAAAGCAAAGAGGGAAATAAGAGTCATGCTAGCCAAGTGTTGAGGAAGGCAATATCATGCTTGTAGTCTTTTGATCCCCACTCAGCTGCATAAGAATGCACTCTAGGCCTGGAACACTTCCTAACGAAGAGACAAAGAGCCCATACAGCTTGTGCTGGGTATATCACCTTGTGTGGTATTATCTTTCCTTGTCTTAAGTGCAGTGAGTATTCTTTTGTTTCTTCTTAGAGTGTGTGCATCATATAGCATCTGGCCAACTCCATTGCTCTATCAGTTCTCTGGAAGGCGATGAGGTCCTTCCACCACAGAACAAGAAGAGTGAACATGTAGGCAAATTGCCCTGTATCCACAACTGCGAGAGATCCGCTGGCCATGGGAGACCAGTGCCCAAGACTGAAGGTGATCTCACTCTTCTCTATGTGAGCAAAGCATTGTTCCATCCAATGCTTGACTGCATGTGTTTTCTTTGGCGGCTCAAATACCAAGACGAGATGGGTTAGAAAGGTTTAGAGTTCTCCCCTGGGATTTGTAACAGGTGCACAGTACTCTACTCTCTTGGGATTGATAACTGGTGCACGGTACTTTGCTTGACACCAGGAGATATAGAAAACCACCAAACCCACACAGTTTCTTATTTTTTTAATTTAAATTTTGTTAGTTAACATATAGTGCACTACGGTTTCTAGAGTAGAATTCAGTGATTCATCACTTATATTCAATACCCAGTGCTCATCACAAGTGCCCTCCTTAATATCCATCACACATCTAGCCTATGCCCCACCCACATCCCTTCATCAACCCTCAATTTGTTCTCTATCATTAAGAGTCTGTTATGGTTTGTTTTCCTCTCTCTTTTTCCCCCCTTCCCATATGTTCATCTGTTTTCCTTCTTAAATTCCACAAATGAATAAGATCATATGGTACTTGTCTATCTCTGACTGATTTATTTCACCTAAGATAATATACACCATCCATGTTATTGCAAATGGCAAAATTTCATTCTTTTTGATGGTTGAGTCATAATTCATTGTGTGTATGTGTGTTTGTGCATGTATATGTGTGTGTATACCACCTCTCCTTTATCCATTCATCGGCCGGTGGACATTTGGGCTCTCCCATAGTTTGACTATTGTTGATAATGCTGCTGTAAACACTGGGATGCATGTACGCCTTGAATCTGTATTTTTTATCCTTTGGGTAAATAACAAGTAGTGCAATTGCTGGATCACACCGTTTCTTTTAATCAAAGAGATTCCGCTGGTGGCAAAATTGTCACTTAATATGAATTACCAGGTCAGGGTATCTGGGTGGCTTAGTTGGTTAAGCAGCTCACTTAGCTCTGGTTATGATCTTGGGGTCCTAGGATGGAGCCCCATGTTGGGCTCCCTGCTCAGCAGGGAGTCTGCTTGTCCCTCCACTCTGCCTGGCCCCACTCATGCTCTCCCTCAAATAAACCAATAAAATATTTTAAAAAGATGAACTACCAAGTCACCAGTAGGGGCGCCAGTCACTTGTCCTTACCTGGTCTATAGTGAGGGATTTGCAAAGAAGTGGGCCTTAGAGGATGAGGGAAATAGAGAAAGACAGGGGAGAGGCAGGACATCCCAAATGAAGGGCAAGGTCAGGAAAGCTATCCTGTTCATGTAAATAAAATATATACATATATCATACAAACTGTATGTGAACCAAAATAAAGCTGGGCTTTTTTGTTCCCTCCTCATTCAAAAGAAATTGATCAAACTCCAAAAAGCACTGTCAGAAAACAAGTCTTTTTTTTTTTTTTTTAAGATTTTACTTATTTATTTGAGAGAGAGAGAGAGAAAGTATCTGCAAGATTGGGGGGAGGGGGTGGCAGGGGGGGAGGGGGTGGCAGAGAGTGAGGGAATCTCAAGCAGACTCCCTGCTGAGTGGGGAGCCTGAAGTGGGGCTTGATCCCAAGACCCTGAGATCATGACCTGAGCTGAAACTGAGTCATCTGCTTAACCGATTGAGCCACCCAGGCACCCCAGAAAACAAAAGTCTTTACCAAAGGAGGACACTTCAAAGGGATTACACAGTACATCTCAAAATCTCCAACATCTCTCTTCCTCAAAGTTCCATGCTATCAGAGTAGCCCCCCAAACCTCTCCTTTTTTCCCCCAAATTCCTGGCCACCCAAATTTTGCCAGCTCAATCCCCTCCCATCTCTTAGTTGCAGCTTTTCCAGAGTGTGACTAGGAGGAAATTTCTCCAGGTCGCTCCACTCCTCTACTGAGATCTGTTCCTCTCTGCCCTCCTTACAAAGACTCCTTAGAACTAAGTCTGGGAGAGAGGAAAAGCCATAAATAATTACATGTGAGTATTTTTGTCCTGTTGCATAGAAAAAAATATTGGAAGGAAATACACCCAAATGTTACTAGTAAGAGACCAGCAGAGCTTTGGAATCAGGTAAAGTTGGGCTCAGGTCCTGGCTTGGAACTTTCTAGTTGTGTGATCTTGGGCAAACCTCACAGGAGATATTTCTCCAACCCTTAGATTGCTGTTCCATGAATAACTTAGCATATATCTGGCATATAGTAACTTTTCTGTAAAGTGTAGCTTACAAATTAAGGAGTTTGCTACCCAGTAGGAATACGGTGAACCTCATTTTGTCTTTATTACTATTTTTGGCCTTTACCAATATTTTATTTAAAAATTTTTACATTGAAGGTTGCCTGGGAAGCTCGGAGGGTTTAGCAGGTCAACTCTTGATTTCAGCTCAGGTTATGATCTCAGGGTCCTGAGATTAAGACCTGCCTCCTGCTTCCCCACTCAGCAGGGAGTCAGCTGGGATTCTCTCTCTCCCTCTGCCCCTCCCCCTGCTTGCGCAAATGGACACACACCCTCAAATAAAGAAATTTTTTTAATGTTTTTTTTTTAAGATTTTATTTATTTATTCATAGAGACACAGAGAGAGGGAGGCAGAGACACAGGCAGAGGGCAAAGCAGGCTCCATGTAGGGAGCCCGAACACTAAACTGCTGAGCCACCCCAGCTGCCCTAAAAATGTTTTTAAATAAAAGTTTTTACAAGGAGCAAATATTTGTAATTTGAAATAACACAAAGATTATTCTAAAAATAGGCATAAACTGAATGTTTATCATTAGAGGGCTAACTGAATTATGGGATACCCATATTCTGAAATACTATGAACTCATCAAAAATGTCCGTATAATGACATGGGAAAAAAATTGTCCATAGAAGAGCAAGTTGCAAAACTGTATGGGCAGCATGAGCCCTTTATGTGTATTTTTATACATTAAGGATGTAAATAAACAGAAAAGGTGTAAGGATACTCAACATCTCAGCAGTGGAGATGAGGGCTTTTCATTTTCTTAAATCCATATTTTTGTAAGGTTTAATTTTTTAGTACGACGCATGAATTACTTTTATATAAAACATTTAAGGGGGGGGCAAATGGGCAGGGCTTCCCGGCGTGTTTCTCAGGCCCAAGCATGGCCGAAAGGCGAGGACTCCAGGACCCCGCACCACAGTCCTGTGAACAGCCGCACCCTGTTCAGCCCTCAGAGTCCACCTCAGCCGACGTCCTCCTTCGAAAGGTGCAACGGAACGGAGCTGGAGGAGGCAGCTGCCGCCTGCCTGCCGACGGCGATCGCACGAAACCTCCGCCGAGGAGAGCGCGAAGGCGGCGGGGAGCCGAGAAGGCCCCGGCGCCTGCCGAGCTTCCCGTGGCCCGAGGCCCCGTCCCCCCGCAATCTGGTTGCAACTGGAGGAGAGGGAGGGCTCGGGAGGGACCGCGGGCGTCCGCGGGTTCTCAGGGCAGGGCCCGCGCCTCAGCGTGGGGAGGGAGGGAGCCGCCGAGCCCTCACACACTCGGGGGCCAGCCTGAGCAGTTCCTGGAATGCAGGGGAAGTGAGTGCGGTGACACGCCGGGGGGGCCCCCGGTCAGCGGTCTCTGTGAAACCGTCGCCTCCAGATCGAGCCCCTAGATTGAAGTCCCAGGATATCCTGGCGGGTTCCAAGAACCCGGCCCGGAACGTGGGCGGGGTTCCTGCCTCCTCCACGCCCCGCTCCGGCCCTCGTCGCCCGCGGACCCCCCAGGCCCAGTCAGCGCCGGGCCCGACCCGTCCCGCGCCCAGGTTTCCTCGGCCCGGAGCTCCCTCAAATCCCCCCCGGAGACCCCGGCCCCGCGCCCCCGTCCGGCGCCTTCCCCTCGACCCCGCGCCTCATTTCCGCATAGTTCCCGCTCCCGGCACCCAGCGCGCGCCTCGCGGACTCCGCGGCCCGCGGGAACATGAGCCCGCGCCCCGCCCCCCGCCGAGGCCCCGCCCCCCGCCGAGGCCCCGCCTCCCCGCCGAGGCCCCGCCCCCGCACGTGCCCGCGCGTGCTCCCTCCGGTTCCCCGGGGCCTGCCCGGCTGTGCCGGTCCTTGTCAGGGCCCGGGCCCCCTGTCCGGAGGGTGGGCAGCGAGGGCGTTCTGAGAAGCTCCGAGAAGCAGCAGGCCCGGAGGCGGAAGCAGAGGATGGAGAGGTCCGGGGTCAGGCAGTGAGGGCCGCGAGGTCGAGCCCACGGCCTCCTCGTTCCTCCAGCCCGCGCAGTTGGGCCCCGCCGGCTCGCGGCCCGAGCCTGAGCCTGGGTTGGCCCGGTGCCCGCAAGGTGCGCTGCGCGGGATGGGCGGCCCACGGTGCGCCGGTCCGGGCGGAGCGAGTGAGCTGGGAGTGTCCGACCCACGATCTGGAATCCAGGGCCCAGCGGGAGTTATTGAGGTGTACTCGGGCCCAGTGGCTCTCTTACTATGGATGCCAAGACCTGTGCTGGCAGAGGTGGGGAGCGGGGCCCAGGAGGCCCAACTGATGGGGCGCTGCCTCTCCAGCGCCTCCCAGGTATGGGGAGCTCGGCTCTGTGCCGCCGCCGTGTGGACTTGGGTGTGAACACCGGGCATCCAGCTCCTGTGGATGAGAGCAGAGCGATCCTTCCCAAAGGCAGCGATGCCACCGCCACCCAACCAGCTTGTCCTAAGTGCCTGCTGTGTGAAAGACACACAAAAATGAATAATTAAGGGGCAGCTGGGTGGTCCAGTGGTTGAGAATCTGCCTTTGGCTGAGGTGGTGATCCTGGGTTCTGGGATGGAGTCCTGCATTAGGCTCCCCGCAGGGAGCCTGCTTCTCCCTCTGCCTGTGTCTCTCTCTGTATCTCTCAGGAATAAATAAAAATCTTTTTTTAATGAATAAAATAAGAGAAACCTTTTCAAATTTGTGGCTCCCAGGCTCATGAAAATAGCAGGCAACATTTAAGGAGGGTTTACTCTATGCCATGCACTCACAGAGTACTTTTATATGCAAGATCATATTAAATTCTCACCACAGCCCTCTAAGGGTAGGCTATTCAACAGATGTTCCAATTTAACAAATGAGGAATTTGAGGTTCAGGGAGGTCAAGTAATTCGTCCAAAGTCACACAGCTAGCTAATGATTGAATTTCTGAGCCTTGGCTTTTTAATTTTCTTTTTTAAAGAACGATTTTAGTTCAAATAAAATTGAGCAAAAGGTGCGGAGTGTCCCCATAACTACCCCCCCACATTCATACCTGCTATCAACATCCCACACCACAGTGATGCATTTGTTACAATTAATGAACCCACATTGGTCTATTATTATTATCACACAAAGTCCAGACTTTACTTTTATTTTTTTTAAAGATTTTATTTATTTATTCACGAGAGACAGGCAGAGACACAGGCAGAGGGAGAAGCAAACTCCCTATGGGGAGCCCAATTCGGGACTTGATCCTAGGACCCTGGGATTATGACCTGAGCCTGAGGCAGACACTCAAGTGAGTATCTGAGCCACCCAAGTGTCCCTGAAAAAAAATTTGACCACATATCATTAAAGTCATCCCTAGAACCCCCAATGGTAATCATACCGAACTCTGGAGAACTACCACAGGAAATTACCGGAGGAGCCCGGGGAAAGTTGAATGAAGCCATTTTCTGTTGAGCAAGGGACAGTATCCCCCAAGTAAGGGGCTTGCTGCTTTTCATAATTCTTTCTGAGTCTCAGACCTAACAGCATATCTGATCTTATCTTTCTTGGCTAGCATCTCATTCTTTTCTGCATAAAGAGTAAATGCTTGGGGGTACCTGGGTGGCTCCTTCAGTTGAGCATCAACTCTTGATTTCTGCTCAGGTCATGTTCTCAGGGTCATGAGCTTGAGCCCCACACCAGGCTCCATGCTCAGCGCAGAGTATGCTTGAGATTTTTTCTCCCTCTCTCTCTGCCCCACCTCTGCCCCATGTGTGCTCTCTCTCTCTTTCAAATAAAATAAATCTAAAAAAAAAAAAGGGTGAATGCCTTAATATGGTCTATAAGGTCCTTTCAGATCCTGGGATAGCCCCACTGTGGCCCCTTTAGGCTGATGAAGACAGGGATACAGGAGATGGGGAGGAGCTCCTGGAGGAAGTGACATTTGGAGTGAAATCTAACCAATTTGTGGGAGCCATTTTGTGGGGAAAGAACTAGGTGATGGTGGTGAAGAGCTTTTCAGGTAGGAGGAATAGCATGTGCAAAGTTCCTGAGGCTGGAGGGACATGTGCATGTGAGCATCTGAAAGATCCATGAGGAAGAGTCAGGGAGAGGAGTTTGCAGATGCCAGATCCCGCCTGTAGTTCCTGGAGGCATCACAAGCACTGTGATCTTTTTTTTTTTTTTTTTAAGATTTTTTTTATTTATCTGAGACAGAGTGATAGCATGAGGTGGGGAGGGGATGGGGGGAGAAAGAGAAGCAGTCTCCCCACTGAGCATGGAGCTGGACACAGGGCTTGATCCCAGAACCCCGAGATACTGACCTGAGCTGAAGTCCGATGCCCCACCGACTGAGCCACCCAGGACCCCCAGCAAGCACTGTGTTCTCAGTGCTGTGCCCTATGGGGAGTAATTTTGAGTCTCAAGTAGGGGGATGACTTTTAATTATTCAAACAACAAATACTTTTTGAGCTCGAGATTTTATAGTAACAAGATTCTCATGGGTCCTTGCCATCAGGAAGCTTATATTCTTTTTTATTTTTTTAATCCATTTTTAAAGTTTATTTTATTTAAGTGATCTCTACACCCAATGTAGGGTTCAAACTCACCATGCTGAGACAAGAGTGGCACGCTCCATGGACTGAGCCAGCCAGGTGCCCCTAAGATTCTTTTTTTTTTTTAAGATTTTATTTATTTATTCATGAGAGACACAGAGAGAGACACACACACACGGAGAGAGAGAAAAAGAGAGAGAGAGGCAGAGACACAGGCAGAGGGAGAAGCAAGCTCCGTGCAGGGAGCCCCATGTGGGACTTGATCCCAGGATTCCAGGATCACGCCCTGAACCGAAGGCAGACGCTCAACCGCTGAGCCACCCAGGCGTCCCAAGATTCTTTTTTTTTTTTAATGAAAGCTATACCTATACATGGTTTAAAGAAATAACAAATATTACAAGGCTTTCTACAAAAATGGGAGGCAGGGGATCCCTGGGTGGCTCAGCGGTTTGGCGCCTGCCTTTGGCCCAGGGCGCGATCCTGGAGTCCTGGGATCGAGTCCCGCGTCAGGCTCCCGGCATGGAGCCTGCTTCTCCCTCCTCCTGTATCTCTGCCTCTCTTTCTCTCTATGTCTATCATAAATAAATAAATCTTTTAAAAAAAAACACCAAAAAACGGGAGGCAGTCCATCACCCACTTCCCCCATTTCCACTTTTCCAGAAGCACCTATTTTCAATTTTTAGCTGACTGTATTTTGCATTTATCTCCATCATCTCTAAGTAGCATGCTTGTTTTGCCATTTCTTGATGTTTCAGTTTTAAGCACTATCTCTTGATTTTCTACTGAGGAAGATAAAGTTTTAACTCTTTCCCCATCACCTGCCCCACATACACATAATCCTGTCTCCCCAAACTGCTAACACAATTTTGGTTGGTTCAGTAGTTACTGTGCACACTATTATATGTAAGTTATGATTATTTTTCATTCATTCATTCATTCATTCATTCATTCATTTATTTGAGAGAGAGGGTGCAAGTAGGGGGGAGGCAGAGGGAGAGGGAGAGAGGGAAAGAAGCAGATTTCCCACTGAGCCTGGAGCCCAGACCCAGAGGTGGGGGCTGGGGTTGGGGAACACAGGGAGGGAATTGGAGTCCACAACCCAGAGATCATGACCTGAGGCGAAACCACAAGTTAGATGGCCCTCTGGCTGAGCCACCCCGGTGCCCCTACTTTTCCTTTCTCATACAGCTGTTTGTTTTCCCCAGAGTTAATAATTGTTCTGTTTCGTCACTTGCTTAGTTTGTATGTATCCCACTCTCCACCAGTTATCCAAATGTCTTCCCAAACTGTTCCCATACATCAGGTGTCTCAGGTTGGTATCTCTAGAGGTGGATGGGGAGTTAGAGATGTTTATTAGGGATCAAAGGAAGTGGGTGGAAGCAGAGTTGGGCAGAGGAAGAAGTGGAAGTTCAGTGAGGCCTAGCAAAGCCCCCCCCCCCCCCCCCCGCAAGCCTGGCAGGGAGCCTTGGAGCAAGTGTTTCCCCTCAGAGGGTCTGGAGGCCAGCTGACATGCTCAGGCCCTTAGACCTGCCAGTCACAGTGTGGGGGCAGCCTCAGGGAAGGATGCCATCTTGGGCAAGGCGGCTCTGCATCTGGGGCGCCCTGAAGGAGCTGGCAGCTGGCAGTGGTCCGCTGTCCAGACTCCCTGCAGATAGGCAGCAAGCCCTTCCTGGAAGTGGGTCCTGGAGGCACAGCTCTATCTCCTACTACTTCACATATTCAGTCAAGTCCATCTCCTTGAGGAAACTCTCAGAGTCTTCTTTCTATTCTGATCTGGAGTATTTTCCCTATACACCTGGTGAACAGTTAGCATTCTAGGCAAGGAAACATCTGGATTTTGTAGGGTTTAAAGTTTATACAATCTGGAGGTCCTAAAAAAAAGCATACAAAATTAGGTATAATTTATTTAGATTGATAAAATAAGCCAATAAATTCCTGGAGCCTCATATCCCCTGGAGACTCAGGACTTTTTCTTCTGAGATCTCATCAGGCAATCTAGCAGAAAGGATTTCTGATTACAATTTGGCTTCTCCTGCCCACCTAGAACCCTCTGCAACTCCCAGCACTCATAGGGCCCCGTGGAAGTGTAGAACTGGAGCTTAGGCTTTGGGAGCTTCTCAGGAAGCTCCCCCCCTCAACCTGGGATCTTCTTCAGGCTTCCTAGAGATTCCCCTGGGGATTGATTTACTCCATCCTTTCTGTGGAGCACCTATTCCACTAGTTTCTTGGGAAAGAGGATGTGGGAAGCGACATTTTGAGATCTTACATGTCTGCAAACATCTTTGTTCTACTTTCACCCTTAATAATTTGACTGGGTACAGAATGTATTTTAAAAACTCCTAGAGGGCACCTGGGTGGCTCAGTGGTTGAGCATCTGCCTTTGGCTCAGGCCGTGATCCCAGGGTCCTGGGATGGAGTCCCATCTCGGGCTCCCTGCGGGGAGCCAGCTTCTCCCTCTACCTATGTCTCTGCCTCTCTCAGTGTCTCTTATGAATAAATAAATAAAATCTTTAAAAAATGAATAATAAATAAAATAAAAACTCCTAGAACAGTTCCTGGCATGTAAAGGAAACTGGGTGGCTCAGTTGGCTAAGTGTCCAACTCTTGGTTTCCACTCAGGTCATGATCTCATGGGTCTTGAGATCCAGTCGTGAGTTGGGCTCCACACTCAGCGAGGAATCTGCATAAGGTTTCTCTCCTCTCCCTCTTCTCCTCCCTCCTCTCTCTTTTAAATTAATTAATTAATTAATTAATATTTTAAACATTTATTTTTAAAAAGAACAGTACCTGGCATATTATAAATACCATTGGAATTTCACTATCACTATTATAAATAATTTTAGTTGAGGATTATTT